TCACCTTTCTGTTTCTGCAGACAAACCCCTAAATTGTTAAGAATACTGAGATGGCAAAACTAAGTGCCCCAAAATTAGGAAATGGTGTTTAAAACCACTGTATGACTTTGCTGTGATATCCCTTTGTGTTCATCCTGCCACCCATAGTTGGGTCATAAGTTTTCAGGCCATTTTTCCCATAGAGGCTCTGTCCAGCTCTGTCCAGAAACAAAAGGTTTATCACAACCTGTAATCACAGACCTCTCCACATCATGTTCTCTTTGTTCCTTCTTACAGTTACAGCTTGCTTTTTCTTCTTGATCTAGAGCAAGTCCATGCTTCCTCACACTTCCCTGCCATTCTACATGTCCCCCTCCGTATACTCTTGACCGCAACACCCACCTGTTTCCCAATTTCTATCCTCTGCTGCAACACTTTGCCCTTGCAAGCTTATCTTTCCTGTCCTGTCCCCTGAGTTGCTTCTTTAATCGCTTTTTTTGGCAAGATTATTCACACTCCTCCCACTCTACCTATCTGCATTTAGTTAGGCAGATTTTTTTACATTTGTAAGACTGAGATACCTGCAGACATTTCAACAGTACGTAAGAGTCCAAGACATAGCTAGATATGACCAAAATGCCTATCAAAAACTAAGTATTGAGTGTACATGCAGAAAGACAAAGACGGAGAAGCTAATCTGGAACAAAGTTTTGTAAACCTTCTCACAGGCCTAAGTATGCCTTCTAAATTGTATGTTAAATGAAGTAAGGCTTTTAGCCTAAGCAGGCCAGAGAGATTGCAAAGGGAACATAATCAAAGGAAATGGTTATACTAATAGCAGCAACGAACTCTCCACCTTTGATAACTGAACTCACTGCTGGGCTACAAAGTTGGACTGAAGTTGAATTCAATTTCACCCTCCGTTCTCCAGGCAGAGTATGTCTATTACTGCATACTCTTGTTAACGATGAGGTCCTGCTCCAAGGCCGTTTTCCACCAACATCTATCTCTCCTTCGCACAACAACTCCCAGCTGCAGTAAAGCTGCAGCTTTTTGCCGTTAAACACCTGAAGAGGGACTATTTTGGCCGAAGAGGCTGGCCGTTTGCAGGGGCCTGCCATGAGCACACATCCATATCCCCCCCGGGCACGAGGCCGTATCTCCACCCCCCCCGCCGGGGAGCAGCTCCTTTTTTTGAGCCACAAGCAAAAAACAAGAGGCGGGCTTAAAAGCGTAAAATCCGATAAACTGGTTAAGTCCATAAAAGTGAAAAACCAACCCCAAAGGATTTACCGTCGCACCTGCTTCCACGCCTCTGCCCCTCCGGCCCGGGAGGGTGCTGAGGGGTTAAGGCCGCCCGGGGGCGGAGGCAGTGCCG